CCTAATTAACATCAATTTCTTTATTTGCATGAGGACCTTCTAATTTATTTCCACTCAGAGTGGTTATAGCCCTTCTATTTTCATACTAGGGTGGATCACTTTGAGGAGCTCTAGGTTGTTGAATAGGAAATCCAACTAAGGTCAGTTTTGTGGATTAATTACAAGTTGACTAGGTGGTTGACCTCATTTTCTTCTAGCACTAGACACATCTAATCTTCCCATCTCTTTTTCCAATCTTTTTATATATTGTGGTATGGTGTTGTTGCTGCTGCATCAAAGTTAATTGAATTGTCCATTTTGCCACATATTAATTGTGGTATTGATAGAAGAAGATTTTTGTGGTGTGCAAGCTTGTGGTTTGGAAAACTTAGGAGTGATTTTAAAATCTAGACATTTTTGTTGTTGGTTCTAAGAGGGAAACTAAGGGAGAACTTCTGGATTCAGAAATTTTTACAGATTTTTCCATGAGAAATTATGGTGATTTCTCCAATTCAGGTTATGTGTTATAAGGAGGGTTTTTGTTGGTTTTTGAAACCCGTAAGCTGCTTGGACTTCTTCTTGCTGATGTAAGCTAGGCTGCTTTATGATAGGACAATCATAATCAAAATGAGTCATATCTTTGCATATAGAGCAGCTAGTGTAAGTTCTAGTAATCTAAGAAGATCTACTCGATGTGAGTTGATTTTCAAACCTTTTATTTATTACTATACCTAGTTTGTTATGCAATGACTTCATCCCTTACATCTGCTGTTAGATTCCATTTAACTTCAACTTCAATTCCATATCTTCAACAAACTTCACACATACTTCCCCATGTGAGTAAACTTCTATTATAAGTGGAGAATGATGAATGATTCAAATAATTTTTACTTAAATCCTCAAACACTTTATATGCTTCATCCTTCTTTTTACTCAAAGACATTCATTCACAAGCAAATCAACTAATTGCCTGCATTGTTCTAATAATCCATCATAAGCCACTTCTACAATTTATCCTTTAGAAATATTGTGGTGTGTGAACTTCATAAGGAGATGCTTCATTTTGGTCCATGCTTTGTGAAATAATTCCCCATGATTTTGTGTGAAACATAGGATGGATCTTCTTATAGTTTTTATTTTCTCTCTAGGTAAAATTTCATTAGAAATTCTTGTTTCATATTTGCCCATGTCCTATTGAAAATGGAAACAAGGTTAGTCTCATTAAATCATCAACATCCTTAATAGTAGGACAGATTCTCAAAAACTCCCTAAGATGTCTATATGGATCTTTTTATGTTGTCTATCATAAAATCTAAGAAGCATTTGAAAAATACTGGATTTGATATCTTGAGAGTATATAGGAATTGTAAAAAAGTCCCACAAGGAGAAGGTCTGAAATATTCTCTAAGTTGCCTAGGTTGGTTTGCAAGCTAAGGGACTACATTTTGAGGATTCATTGTGCTAAATTTCTTCTTACAATGAATTTTCATTTCGATATCAGATTATGACTTGAGGATTGGTTTTTGGGATCTCCTATGTTGCATATACCACAATCACTTTAGTTTTTTTTATTTTATTCTTTTTTAGAATATATTGAAGAAAATAACTCTAAAATGGAATAAGTCAAGACATAAAGGAAAGGAAACTTAAATTCTAAATCTAGAAAAAAAATAAAGTTGTAATATGTGATTAATAAAACGAAATAAGCTAAATTGAGTTGATGTCTAAAAAGTTGTAAAGAAGTATGTGGGAATCTAGATTCTAAAGTATAACTTTTACCACCCTTTTTTATTTCCTCAACCTTCTTTAGTCTTCTGATGTTGTCTTCTCTCTCTTTAACTTTTACCTATATATATTCAGCAAAACTGAAAAACATTGCAAAGATCTAGTTTTCATTATTGCAAGTTAGGATTAGGAAATGTAACACTAATTTAGAAGAGTTTGTCCCCAGGAATAATGCAAAAAATTGATTTACAATTATTTGTTGTTATAAAACATGCCAAACTTAATTTTCGATTTGATTCCATTTAAAACAATTAAATTAATTTAGTGGTGAAACCAGGTCAAACTCAAGGATGATGAAGGTAAATCTGTAATACAAATTTTCAATTAGTTCTTAAAGCTAATATTAAAAGGGAGTGAAAGGAGGAAAAAAAGATGAGAAGGTGGAAATAACACAAATTATATGAAATTGAGTTCACACTAATATCACAAGGGTGAAGAATTCACACCACTCTCAAAGTCAAGTCTTTACATTTTTCAAATTCTGATTCAATTTCCAAGACATGATTCAAATCAGGATGCGAAAATAAATCTTAATTTGTAAAAACTGAAATGAAAACAAGAAACGTTCCTATTTGACACTCAGGGAATACAACAATAGGGTGCAGCTTGCAACTCGATGCTTGATTCCACCTCCTCAATCCACAACATTGAATTGAGAAGGTGTCTTGGTGATGTCCTCACTTGTCACTGGAGGAAGAAGAAAAAGAGTAGACATATCCCTTATGGAACCAAGGACAAGGAACCTTGGTGAATGTCTAACACCCAGCCGGAGTAGGAAGAAGGGGTCACTGGAATAGGGAAGGATCTGCCATGGGAATCGTCAGTTGCCATGCACAGCTCCATTTTGTATCACCTAGTAGAAATTATCAATGAGAGAGCACTCCGCTGCTGTTTGCTACCATCTGCTGCCATTAGTCGCCATCTACCACTGTACTATGTCACCTGGTAGAGAGCATGGAAGGGGGAATTGTCCACTGTTGTTTGCCGCAATCTGCTGCTTTATAGTGTCACCTAGGTGAGTGAATCCATGCCACAATTAACTCTTACTTCACACATGTAGTTCTAGACAGAAAAATCAGAAGTAGAAAAAATAGGGCCCAATAAGAGAAAAAACCAGAAGTACGAAAATATTTTTTCCTAGGTTTATTCAAATTTATGGAGATAGATGTGGCTTGATAATGGGCTGATTATATCAGGCCCAATAGGAGCTTCATCATGAGGGGTTAAGGGAGAAGAGAGAAAAAGAGAAAGGGAGAAAGGGGGCAGACCTTGATGCGGGCTAGGGCATGGAAGTGCATGACAACAATGGCACTAGTGATGGCGAGCTTTCCTTCTGGGTGACAGGTGGAGGTGAGCACGATCGCAGTGACGGTGACGAACGATTCTCACTCTGGTTGATAGACGGAGGTTAGCACAATGACAACGGTAGCGGCGGCAACAAGTTTTCCCTCTGGGTGACAGGTGGAGCTGAGCACAGTAGTGACCACGGCAAGGTGAGTACAACAGTGGTGACTGCATGAAGCCTTCTCCTCCAATGATTGAAGTTCCTCCATCTCTGGTGAACCTGACGACAGCACGAAAACAAGGCTCCAATCGTACCGTTTAGGATCAGTCTGCAGTAGTAGGTCCTCCTTTAGGTGACAGGCATAGACGACGACAACAGTGACACAGAAGAGAAAGTGAAGAAACCAGAGATAGAATTGAGGGATGCAGTCACGTGCCTTACAACATTAGGGCTTCTAGACGAGATAAGTTCGTTTAGGAGCCACCACATACGTTGACTCTTTGAATTCATTTTCATTCGTGAGATTTGATTTGCGATCGCGTGCTTATGTAGTGAGCAGCCCCCCTTATGAAACCGAAAGCAGCCTTTTTCTTGCTTTATACTCTAATTTCATTTCTGTTTAGTTTACACTAGTCGATTTTGTGGGCATAAGAACACAACAGAGTGAGATCGTTCCCCTACTCATTTATCCTTTTTTGTGTGATTTAGTGTCCCCTTATCTTCCAAAATTATTATGTTTATCCTTAGGTGATAGCCAGAATGTTTGTTTTCAGTTTCATATTTTAATTTATTTTCTTATTACAGAAGTGATGTTCACAATTTTTATCCCAAGTTTGAACGCCACTTTGTTTGTACACATTGTTCATTCTCCCCTTTTTTTCCTTTCTCTTCTAGAAATTTCAATGTTGTTTGTCGTCTTGGTGATGGAAGATGCAGTAGAAGCAACTAGGAATTAGAATAAATAATTGTAAGAGCTCTTTTACCCTTTTCACTCAAAAAGTATTTGAGAATAGAATTTGGCATGAAGAATTTGATAGTCATCCGTGAGGATCGATCTGAACCCACTAAAAGTTTCAAACTAATTTTAATATTCTTTGGTTATAAATATTGAAACTGACAGCTTTTTAATTCAAAGATTAAGAGATGATCAAGATGCCATAACCCTTTATTAAACGTTCATAAAGTAATTTAATAAGAACTAACTTAATTATAGCTTCATAACATACAAATCGTATATATGTGCTCGCACTGAGATCAAATCTAACGACACTTTCTTTCCCATTCGATCCATTTCAGGATCCTCATGAATTCCAAGAAGCATCATGGTCTAGAGTCAGGTGGTAACTCATACTCAATTCAGACGGATAGGGGAGCTGAGCTCTAAACATCGAAACCTTCAGTACAGGGACTATTACAGTACGAACAGGTGGGAAGAAAATGCAAATAACATAAAAGATACATCTCGCTCTCTCTCTCTCTCTGTGCTCAACTCCTGAGTGAAAGACTAACAAAACGAAAACGTTCAATTTGACTACTTTAGCTCGTGGGTGGATAAAGCAGTGGTTTAGAGCCGGCAGGCCCCGCTGGAACGATGAGGGCCCCGGTGGCGAATCCAGCAGAGGTCGCCGATGTCGACGACGACCGCCTGTTGATGCCGGCCAGGTCGAACCCATAAACTGAAACCCCTCCGTAGAATGGCTCCGGCATCTCGGCTGGAAGAATAGGCAAGGGCATCTCGAAGAGGAGAATGCTGATCACCTGCCGCATCGACGGCCGTTGATGGTGGTCCGGGTGGGCGCAGCACAGACCCACAACCATCAGCCGCTCCATCTGCTGCCAGTCGAAGTCCGAGCCCAGCCTCTCGTCCGCCGCCTCCAAAACGACGCCCTTCCCGTAGAGATCCCACACCCAGTCGACGATACTAACCCGCCCCTCTTCATTGCCGTAATCAATGGGTCTCCTCCCGCACGCGATCTCCAAGGCCAGCACCCCAAAGCTGTACACGTCGGACTCCTTGCTCGCCCTGCCCGTCGTCGCGGTCTCTGGTGCCAAGTACCCCATCGTCCCAGCCACGGCCGTCGTCTCCATGCCGCCGCCGTGGTCGACCAGCCTCGCAAGGCCGAAATCCCCTAACTTGGCATTGAAATTGACGTCCAGCATCACATTGCTCGACTTCACGTCCCTGTGGACCACGCACTGCTCCGACTCCTCGTGGAGGTAAAGCAGCGCCGCCGCGACACCCCGGGCGATGCTGTACCTCGTCGGCCACGGCAGCGGATTGCCGCCGTCGTTGTAGAGGTGGGCGTCCAGGCTGCCGTTGGGCATGTACTCATAGGCGAGAAGCAGTTCCCCCTTTTCGTGGCACCACCCCACGAGCTGCACGAGGTTGCGGTGGCGCACGCGGCTGATGACCTTCACCTCGGCGACATACTCCTTCTTCCCCTGCCTCGAATCTTTTGCCACTCTCTTTATGGCCACCACCATTTTCGGCTGGTTCAAGATTCCTCTGTAAACGTCTCCGAATCCTCCTCTTCCAAGCTTTTCTTCTGGCGCAAAGTTCCTGGTAGCCTGGGCGAGTTCCGAATAAGAGAAGCTCCTGGGGCCCTTCCCTTCATCAAGTTCGCGCTCATCGATGGCGTCGTCCTGTCCCCCGTTCTTGGCATATGCCCTTCTCCGCCGGACGAAGAAACACGCCAAACCCGCTGCAATTGCCAGAGTTCCCGCGCCGGCTAACACACCGGCCAGAAGGCCTATATTGTTGCTCTTCTTTCCCCCACCAGCGTCGCCGCCGTTTGTACTGCTGCCGTTACGGTCGGCAACATCTAGGCTTGAATTGAAGCTCCAGGAATGTATTACATGGCGTTCGAAGAATGCGTCAGTGGTGCCCGCGAAACCAAGGTCAACCCTCTCGGGAAGCTCCTTTCGCAGGTCGACAACGTAAGGCAAGTTTCTGTTGTAGCCGCTGCTGCCGGAGAAGATGGCTGTCAGAGTGGTGGTGCCTGCGTCATAGGTGATCACTGCGTCGATCGTGGCTCTGGTCTGGCCCTCGAGCGACTCCCAAGACGAGCTCCTAATCGACTTGATACAGCCGAGGTCGATCCCCACATGGGTTTCCGTCTCATCATAAGAAGGGTTTTTGAAGGTGTCGAACTCGACGGCTAGTACGGGGACGTTAGCTGGTTGGCTTACACATGAGCTGTTGAAGAGCGTGAATTCACCACTCTTGCTGTTATCCAGAATAAGGTAGCCTACAGGGGCGAGGAAGAAGGCTAGTCCATCAGCGTAAGCCGTCATGTTCGGACGCCGGATCACGGAGAAAGAGAATTTTGTGGTGAAGCTTGCGAGATTCCCGGTTTCGTTGTCCTACAGGCGGATTGGGTTGGAGTAGATGGCTCGGCCGTAGCTGTATTCGGCGTTCGCGTTGAGCTCGAGGGATCCGTTGGCGGATGAGGCATCGGCCAGGAAGGTGATGTTTGCAGGGCTGGAGTTGAACCTGGGGAAGTCGAAAGAGGTGGTCACCGTCTCGCCTCCCGCCTCGAGGACGAAGGCGAGCAGGAGGAGCAAAGAGGCGATGGACGCGCCCGGCGGCATGGCTCTCGGATGATTTCTTTCAGTGGAGCCGGAGGGGTGGGGCTGTGCCTTGTATTACGGGTCAAGAATCGAACTCACCTCGATTCTTTCCAGGGACCGGCCTTGGTCACTCTCGCCGGCGGCGCCAACTACCTACCTTTCTTCTCCAACATGACGTGGGAACGGTGATGGTCAACACAAAGACTCTCGTGCACCACCTCACAGTCGGAACACCCGACTCTGAGTTTGAGAAAGGATGATCCCTCTAGTTTCAGAGGGAGAGCCCACCCACGATCTGGGCCGCCCCAAAAACTCCCCAATCCGCCGTTATTTCCGGCCCAGAACGGGAAAACGTGCGTCGATCGGGTTTCCTGCCCACGACGGTACTTAAGGATGGTGTGACAGGCCCAATAGTAGATTATCTTAAATCTTCTCCATCAACTCGAGCAGCAGTTGACTGCGAAAGAAGGAAAATAAGAGAAAGACAAAAAATATAAATATTTAAAGGCAATGCCTTGGCATTGCGTTTGGTTGTATGTCAAAGGCTGATGTGAAGATTTAACGATATGCATTCTCAAATTAGTTCTAATATTTTTATTCTATTTCATTAGATTTTAGTTAGTGTATTGCTTCTCATAATTTAATCCTAATTTGCATACAAGAATGATATCTTAAATTGACATTTTGGTGAATGGATATAAGCTATTTTGTGTAGAAGATAGAGAAACTATTCAAAATCTAGTTCGTCTATTTGACGAAATTGTACATAGAATTAAAAACTCATAGAAATGATGAGTTAAACCACCAAATACATAGATCATTAACTGATCATTGGAATGTTAAAGTGACTACGGCTGAGGAATTAAAAGATTTATTTTTCCTCCTTGATGATATCATTGATTTATTATTGACTCGCCAACTAACATCTCCATAAAAACGAAGTTTTCTAGAAGAAAAAACAAAGACACAACTTTAAAATTAATTAGACTGATGAAGATGAGATTACTTTTCTTTCTTGAATATTAAATAAGTTAATGAAGAATAAAGACTTTATGATTAGGAAAGTGCAAAATGATTCTCTAAAAACTCTATGGCCTTTTGTTTGGGTGTAAGAGGTCAACTCACTTCAAAGTTGACTGCCATTGCTGAAATAAAAGAGAGTCAAAATATAAGAAGAATGTGATGGTGATAATATTAAGCAAAAGTGATTTTAACATGAACGAAAACTTTGATATATTGTTGCATACTTTTATAAATATTAAATATTAGCATAAGTCAATTATGTGATAATGATATGAAAATAAATTAAAATGCAAGGATATATTGTATTAAATGATAGAAATAGTGAGGTATTATTTACTAATGATAAAGTAAAAAGTATTTATGTCATATATCTTAAAGAAATCACTAAAACTAACATATGTCTCATGATTGGAAAATATCTAGGACAATGAATCTTTAGTAGAGAAGGTTTGGACAATAAATGCTAGAATAATGAGGATTACATAAACTCACAAATATAGAAAACCATACAAGTGTGAGTTATACTGAAAGGAAAAAAAAAAAGAATATCATTCAAAATTAAAGAAAATATCTCTCCAACAAAACCTCTAGGATATGATTTACTTTGATTGATTTGATCCACATAAGATTACTAGCTCAAGAGGAAAATATTATAGTCTTGTTATTGTTGATGACTATTTTTGATATTATTGGATATTTTTCTTAGTTCATAAAAATAATTTATTTGACTCTTATGTTTGCTACACAATGAAGATACAAACTGAATATGTAAAATCAAAGGCATATAGAATCTATAATAAAATAAAGTTGAAAATTGATTTTGAAAAATAATATGAAAGTGTGATCCAATGAGTGATGAAAGAATATTACTTAGATATTTTAAAAATTAAAAACTTATAGAATCTATAATAAAAGAAAGTTATTAGTTTGAAAACTATCCCAAATATGAAATATATCCCAAATGAGGTTAAGATAAATGAGCAAACTGATTTTACAAAAAATGAGGATATGTATAATGAAAACTACATATCTAGATCATACTTCCAAAAATGATGATTTATCTAGATGTTAGAGATATGATTAGATCCATCTAAAAGAGAATGACTTAGGAAGTTTAAATAATGTGATCAGAACTAAGTCAGCCCTCAAAAAAAATATTATAATGGCATTTATCACATAAAATGAGGTTAAGAATAAGAATATAACCTTGCATAAAAATTAGAAAAATTCAGAAGAAATCTTGTTGGAGAAAAGAAGAGTCTTTATGAATTAAAGTAAATGAGCAAGATACAATTCTAAGAAATAAGACAAGATTAGTTACACAATGTTATATTCAAGAAGGAATTGATTATGAGGAGAAATATGCAGAAATTAATTGTTTATGCCTAGCTAAGACTGAAAAAGAAAAGAAGATAATTTTTTGAGAAAATGTTTGTCATCCAAAGAATTTTTCAATAATAAGGAATACAATCAGTAGCCAATAATTGTATTCCATACTTCAAAAAGAAAATAGTTCCACAATATGAGAAACATTGATAACTAAAAAGTGGAGCTGGCATACATCAAATAAGTATCAAATCAGTGATAAAAATCAGTATAATGATGGAGGGAAAATGCTAAGGAGTAGTGTGTTCATCAAGTATAAATGTTAATTCACAAGGGTCAAAATCATCAAACACAAAAGCAAATGAAGAAGTCAACCTTCCAATGCCTATTCTCTTCTCCTGATATGTTCAATAGAGGTTGAACATTCAAAGAGAAAATAAGGTGGGAACATCTTTGTAGTGTGTATAGTACACAAGGATCTTCCTAGATAGTCTTCATCATAAGGGAATTAGAATGAAACAATAATAACATGTTGTATATGATAACATGTTGATTATCACACAAAAAGTATACAAATTATTTATTCAAGAGCTTAAATCTTATAAGCTAGCATGTTATCATATTAAAAAAGTAAATATTTATTATTTCATAAAATTTAATATTTTAGAGAAGTTTTTTGGATTTTTTTCTGAGTTTTACAATCATAATTAATTTTGTTAATATGAAAGAATTTTAAATTTTTCAATCTTCTTTTATGATTTTTAGGAAACCAATATATGCTTCTATGGACAAGATTTGATGTGGAGATGAGAAATGGAATCAGGGGTTGAGGTGTTGACATGTGGCATCACTAAATGAAGAGATCAGAAGTCATCATGAGTATCTATATAATCAATGGTAGATGGAGCATACTTATTGAGGGTGCAGTAGATCTCAACATTAAGAAAGATCCTATGGCTATGACAAGACCTCCAAATCTAATGCCTTAGATCAACCTGAGAGGAAACTGACTCTTGCCTTATCTTATCACGGCTAAAAAGATAGAAATATCCTCAATAACAACCCCAGATCAGATGATCTCGAATGAATCAACTCATGAGAAGGTAAATATGAGCCCTACATGTGTACTCTTATACCCTTGTGTAAACCTTTACACATTTAAGTTGTTGTTCAAGATTGAGGTTTCACATCAATCTTGATGTATTCTAAGTTGATTTAAGTATTGATTTGCAAATGAGATTGTCAAAGAAGCATACTCGAAGAGGAAATCACTTGACCTTAGTGAAATATAGAGGCCCAAGG